CTTATTATTAAGCCCAGATATGGGGCTTAGCCTGAGTTACCCCATCTTGGGCCTGTTCCTTTTTTTTAAAGAATGAAGAATTGATATTAGCCACAACATGGTTGTACCTTGACAAAGTCATGCTGAGTGCATAGGTTGTTGGGGAAGAAAAGCTCAAGGTTCTTCTCACTGGTGCAATAATTAAACTGACATGAGATAGATAAGCAGAATATCAAATTTAACTTTGTATGCATGGGAACCCTTCATACATGAGAGGTTCAAGGATAAATAACATGAGGTATTACTATACTGTGTAATATATACTATTTAATACATATATTAAAACAGATCAAATGAGGTATGTATGACATCGAGCTAAAGAGTGGGGCAGTAGGTCTGGACATAAAGGCCTCTGTGGGTCCCCTCTTCTCATTTCCCAGCTTGTCCATGTGCTAGAGTGGGGGAGGGGCTCTTGAGAAAATTCTGCATGTGAGTATTAAATGCAAGGCTGCCTGCTCCAGGCAGTTGCAAGGAGACACTCCCTTGCTGATTCTAACAGCAACAGTTGCAGAATTTGAACACATAAGCCAAGTCCCCCGGAAATCTGCACCGCAGGTGGCAGTTCCTGTCTTGTCAGCCAGCACTGATATTCCAAGAAACGCTTAGAGCTGTGCTTTTCAACTTGTGGCTATCTTCGGGGAATAAAGTCAGAAAGTCTCCCTCAAGGCATTTCATGATCTGTGTGGGACTGCTCTTAAGGGAATGCAGTAAGAAATGAATTTGTAATAGAAGAAAAGGGGAATCAAATCTTTGTTCAAAACTGAACACTAACATTTACTGGAAAGTGAACTCAAACAGCCCCAGAAACTTTGTCCACTAATGGGCGGGGGTGGGGTGGGGCGGCAGTTTATTCTTGTTCTCCAGATTTACTGCGTCTCAGGGTCAGAGTTAAAGCTGAAAGCTGATTTTGTTCAACCCCAAGCATTCTGTCCCCGGGGACTGAGGAGGAGCAGAAAAGAAAAACAGAAAGCTAGAGAATCGGCACAGGAATGTCTCCTTGGACCCTTGCAAGCTGCTACTTCATGTGTCTACACCCCAGCCTCTCTCCTACCATTTCCCCTTGAAAATTCCTGACCGCTTGTGTGTCAGGAGGATGGTGGTTCTCTAAGGCAGGAGCCTGCCACTCCCTCGTTTGCTAGCAAGTCAATAAACTATTCTTTCCTTTCCTCAAAACCTTGTCACTGTGTTTTGTGATTTGACCTCAGGGACGAGGAGCGGGTCTTGGTATCAGGAGCAGCAACCCCGACCCCCCGACCAAGTGCCCGCAGGGCCTCTCCTTCAGTGTCTGAGCACACAGGGCCGAGCTGCCAGGGACGCAGAGCTCCCGGCTTCCTCCTTGCTAGCCACAGGGGACTGTGCCGGCCAGGAGTGCCTGCTGTGTGGCGGGTCAAGCACAAGCCTCTAGAACTCCCTCCAAAGTATATATTGAAAGCAGTACTGCCTTCCAGGAGAGGTTACAGACTGGAGTTAACACCAAGGACTTGGAAGATGTCGGGGTGGTGATTTCCACAGACCCTTATTGAAGTCACTCACTTGGCCTACTCAGAAAACGGACGAATCTTGGAGATGACAGTGCATGATTATCACTGTAATCGGAGTGTCTCAAATTGCAGCTACTGTTCTCCTCCTATGAGTAAAGACCAGCAGGGCAGTTAGCTTTCAGCCGGCAAGGAGAGAAAACTGTCTCAGAGGTATATCAGACCTCCAGACTTAGGTTGTCATTTAGTCAGAAGGAACCTTCATCTCCTTTTCCTTCCAGAAGATGTCACACTGTCCCATCCCAGTGATGGTACTAGGCTGATTGGACCCAGTAATCGGGAAGTACAGCTCATCTAGGCATATTGATAGCACAGTCACGTGTCAGAAGGTGGGAAATAAATCCAACAAAAATTCAGGGGCCTTTCATCTTAGAGAAGTTTCTAGAAGTCTATCGTGTGGGCATGCCAAGCTCTCCTAAGGTGATGAATGAGGTGCTGTACCTGGACCCTCCTCCACCCCCCACACACAAAGGGCACAGCAGCCTGGTAGACCACCTCGGATTTCAGAGGCAGCATAGACCTCATTTCCAGTGTGCTACTCTGACCCATTTACTGATTGGTCTGAAAAGCACCTAGTCTGAGAGCAGCCTGGACCTTTGGAAGGTGGAAGGCAGGAGATGGCAACACCTGGATCTCCTCTCACTGCCACCCCTTCAAGGTGCAAACCTGAAAACGACCTAGCATGAGACTGACTTGCCCAGGATCACAAGGCCCAGACCCCGGCCTGACCTGCATGGTGGTCCACGCTCCGTGCCAAGCCTGGCTGGCATTCTTCCGTCACTGAGTCTGTGCGACAGACACACGTGACACCAGCCCCCAGGAGCTGGAGGTGTCATCCATGTATCCCTGGGGATGTCCCTAGGGAGGAATGTCTGGCATGACCCTCCCTGTGCAGGTTGGGACATTGGGGAGCTCCTGGGAGGTGCTGTGGCTTCAGCAGGACAAGGAACTGGTGACAAAAAGCAGCCTGAGCTCAGCTCTTGTCTCGTCAGAGCTGGGACCCTGGTGTCATTGCCAAAGAGCGAGGGGAGGGCTCTGGTGGAGATCGGTGTACTCATGCATGGCAAGGGCCAGGCGGGTGGGCAGTCAGCAGCCCAGACAGGCATGTGGTCTGAATTCAGGGAGCAGCCCAGGAAATGGACCCTTGAAGAAGTGATGTCACTGAAGACACGCCCAGTAGAACCTGAATTGTGACCAGGACGGAACCCAGATTCTGGCGGCCGCAGACCCCAGTCCTGCTCACTTGACCGGAGGCGCTCGACAGAGCAACATGCGGTCTTGCTGTGCGGAGCCTTCTGAAGGCTTGGGAGTCACGGAAGCCGAGACGGAGAGTCTTCCTGCTCGCTCTGGGCGTTGGCTGAGAGAACACTTCCAACGCCTCTGTCTGTGTCTCCCGAGGAGCCCCGAGGTAACACAGGGCAGCCCAGAGCGGGCCCCTCCAGGGCCAGGCCACTGTGGGAGCCATCCCGGGCTGACCTTTTCCCCCGGCTCCTTGTGTGTGTGCAGTGGGCGTGGGGCTTGGGGGGACTGAAGGCTGGGGAGGAGGGGGCGGTGAGTGTCACAGCTCTGGTCTCATCATTCAGGACATGGAGGTGAGTGTTGGGACCAGGTACTTCCACCCACATGTTAATCCTGAGCCCAGGGGGTGTCCTCTCCTTCCCTCAGGGACTGGATGTCTAGGCAGATGGCCCTGTGTGCCTGATCTCAGGGACAAGGGTTGGGTTCCACATGGCCCCCTGCGGGGAGGTCCACGCAGCCCCGGGTGCCTCCTACCCCGCTACCAGGCTATGGCTTTGAAGAGCTCCACCCTGGGGAGCGAGGAGGAGCCGATGGATGGATTTACCTACTCCATCTCCCTGGACCTGGGGCACGCTGCCTACACCCCAGGACCCCATTCCAAGCCTGGTAACCTGCCAGGACCCTCCCAGGGCTGCCCCATGAGATTGGTCAAGAGACCCACTCCAGACGGCCTGGAACCTCGCTCCCGGGGGCACCCCGTGCCTCTCCTTGCTTGCATCCCAGAGGGCTGGGGGCTCTCGGGTGAGCGCAAACCTCCCTTGTCCTGGTGGTTCCTGGGTTTCCCACTGACTATCTCCCTGCTGCCCCCCTCAGCGTGAACCTGAGCCATCTGCCCATGGGACTGAGGTCCCCAAGCGCAGGGTTCCTCGGACAGGCGTGAGGAGGGAGGGGAGAAAGCGCACGGGACGCGTGGAACCAGCTCCAAACACCAGCCGGAGCGCTCCCGAGGCCACCCTCCCTCCCGAGGACGCTGACCAGCCCACACGTGTGAAAGAGAAGCAGGGACTGTTCACGGCAAGGTCATCTTCAGGGGCAACCCTCAGCCGGAATGCTTCTTGGCCCCTACTCTCTGCAAAGGATGCTGACCAGCCAGCCACGGGCCAGCGGCTCCCCCGGTGAGCATCCAGCCCCTCCTCGGCCCAGACGGGCCTCTGCCCACAGCCCGCGGTGTCTTGAGTGTCCCCACGTGTCTGAGCCTCAGCGTGCTCCTCTGACAGGCAGGGTGGCTGGCGATCAGCCTGTTAGGGTGCCCGTGGGGAACACGGGAGGAGCTTAGAGGGGCTCCCCTGGTGCCTGGCAGTGCAGAAAGGACTGCCGGCCAAGCTGGGCCACTTTGGGGCTTACTTCTCTGTACCCGATGAAAAGCCTTAGGCCTCACCCATCAGTGGCCTGGAGCCTGGCTCATTTGGAAAAGCACATGGGAAGCAGCCTTTTGGAATGGAGGCTCACGATTCCCTGTGGCTGTGCCCGGTCCTTGTCCTCATCATGGCCACACGAGGGACCTCTGGGGACAGCAGAGGGGTACCTGGGAAGGTTCGGGTAGGACTACCTTCAGCCACAATAGGTATGCAGCACCCACTTTGTGCAGACCCTTTGGGGTCACTTAGCATAACTGAGTGAAGGAAGCAGACACAGTACTGGGACCCCGTCCCGTGTGGAGTCGGGCAGTCACTTCAGGCGTCATCCGCAGGTCACAGCCGGGAAGCATCACGGGCGATACCCTCACCGCCTCCTCATGTAATGGGGGGCATGAAGAGGGGCCAGAGGAGGATCTGAGAAAGTGAGCGTTCACTGGGCCAGGAGGGGGCACTGCCTGTGTGCACAAAATGGGTGGAGGAGGCATGTAGGCCTTGGGGCAGGGGGCGCACAGCAGAGCCCAGCAGGTCACTCATCTTTGGATTCCCATGGGCGGGCTGACGACTGGGGACTTCCTATTCGGGAGGATGGGAGAGGATGGGGTCCCAGGACAGACGCGCAGGGTCAGGAAGGGGGAGGGGCAGGTGCCTGGACAGGCAGGGGAGTGCACAGCGGCCAGGCCCACACAAGGGTGGACCCGGAGGGCAGTGTGGCTGGAAAGACCAGGCTTCTCACTCTGCCACCCCCCGGCCTTCCCCCAGCCCCAGGATGGGACGGGATAGGCGCCTTGCCTGGGAGCCCGAGCATGTGCCCTGCACCATCGATGCCAGCCAGCTTTCATCCACCCTGGTGGGCCAAGTCCTCCACCACTTGGTCCAGGAGGAGCACCTGGGGCCCACGGTGGCAGAGCTGGAAGGTGAGGGGCTGCGGCCAGAGGACCATGTAGGGTGGGCTTCCCGGACTGGGGTTCCCTTCAAGACAGTGAGGGCTCTTCTGTCATTGTAAGGCGCGGGGAATCAGGCCCGGGGTGACCATTTCTCTGTGTCCTGCTCCAGACCCACGGCAGATGCAGCTGGCTCCAGAGACACGGGGAGAGACGGCTTCATGGTTAGAGCCCGCACAGGAGCTCCCTGAGACCCCTGTGCTGGAGCGACGGGAGGTGTCACCTGCTTCAGCCCCTGCAGAGCCAGAGGATGTCCCAGCAGTGGCCTCAGCCCAGGGGCCAGGCCCTGAGCTGGAGCCCCATGAGCCCGCGGGCCTGGGGCCCAGGGCACTTGCTGGAATGGCACCAGGCGTGGCAGAGCCAGGTCCAGGTCCAGAGCCCACCAGCCCCTGTGCTGCGAGCCCCTGGGACATCCCAGGAGTGGTCTCAGGCCCCGAGCTGGAGCCCCATGAGTCCTCGGGTGCGGGGCCCATGGCACCTGCAGGAATGGCACAGGGCCTGGCAGAGCCAGAGGTGGTCCCGGAGCCCACCAGCCCCTGTACCATGAGCACCCGGGATTTGCCGAGGAAGAGGAAGCGGGGCATCCTGGTGTTTGCCCCACGCCTGGTGGCCGAGCAGCTGACCCTGATGTGTGCGGTGAGCGGAGCGGGCTCTCGGGGTCGGGGGTGGGCCTTCCCTGTGTCACGGGCTGCCCCAGACCTGCCGTCCCGACGTGGACTCCTGTGATCTGGGCACACGTCCCAGCTTCCCCACGGATTCACCATGTGCCCTGAGAGACTCTCCTCACCCCCAAGCCCTCCCTAACCACACGGGGACAGTAGGGCCGGCCCTTAGGGATCCCTGCCTGGGAACAGGGGCACCAGGGGCACAGCTGGATGACACCTCTTGTCATCCCCAGGAGCTGTACAGTAGGGTTGAATGTGGTGAATGCAAGGTCTACGTAGAGAGACACCCACTGAGGGAAGCCATTGTGCTCCTGGCCCCCAACATCCTTAACGTCATCAAGCACTTTGGTACCACGTTTCATTTGGTCATCTCCTCCTGCCTCGGGGGCCCGAGCACGACGGCCCAGGACAGGGCCCGAGTGGTGGAGTTCTGGATCCAGGTGGCCAAGGTCTGTCATGGGACGGCCCCCGGGGTCCCCTCCTTCGCCAGCTCTCAGGATGGGTGCCTGCGGTCTGCCCTGCATGGTCCCTGGGCCCTCCTGCCAGGGGCGTGCGGACCTGGACTCGCAGGCCCCGGGGGTGGGACAGCCATCCCTGGCCCCTTCCTTGGGTTGAGCCACAGTCCTCCACCCAGGAGGGCTGCTCAGCAGGTACCAGGTGTGCTGGGCTCCCTGGGTGTCTGTCTCCTTAAGGACAGGAGTTCATGGGGGGTTAGAGCAGAGAAGCAGGCCACGCTCTCAGCTCTGTCTTCCCTCCCAGGAGTGTCTGGCTCTCAGAAATTTCGAGTCCTTCCGTGCCATCATCTTCGCCCTGCAGCGCCCTCCTGTACGTCGCCTGGAGAGCACCTGGGGACAAGTTTCCTGGTGGGTAGTCCTGTCCCTGGGACCAGGGCACCTGAGTGGACAGGGACACCCCTACATCTTGCAGTGTCCCTCAGTGGGCTGGGACTTCCTGGGAGGCGGCAGAGCCTAGGGGCGGGGATGGCGGGCTCTTGGGGCCCCCTGTGGGTTAGGCCACGGGTACCCCTGCAGGAATCAGTTTCCTGCAATGTCAGGTGTGGGGTGAAGCCCATTGGAGATCTGGAGCTTGTGCTCTGCAGCAGGAGGTCTCTGCCCCAAGGACAGCGACCTGGCCCAAAGCAGATTCGCCCCCGGGAGAACTGGGAATGGAGGCCCTGGGTGGAAACATGCAGCCCCCTCCAAAGGCCACGGATTCCCCAGGGCTCAGGGCCATGGTGGAAAGCCTCCTGCGGGCTAGTGGGCCTTGTAGGATCCCCAGGAAAAGGGGTCGGCCCCGAGACTCTCTGCCTGCTGGCCATGTATCTACCTCCTCCTCTCCCCTCCCCTTAGGAAGAGCTCCTGGATCTACAGAAAACTTAAAAAGAGGAACAAGGGGCTTAAAGGGAAGCAGCTCCTCAAGGTAAATGGGGGCTGGAGGTCTGGAAGGGAGGGGTTCTTGGGGCAAGTCCTCTGCCGCGCTGTGGCACAGCTTTGGGGAAGACTCGAGGAGTGTAGGGTGAGCCGGGGAAGGTGATGGGGAAAGTAGGGTCCCCCAGGCCCATGAGGGCCTCGTCTGTCTCCCTCCCTGGCTCCACTTGACTGCGGGCCTGGCATCCAGTGAGGACCCAGGGGACAGACCCCCGGTCAGGGCTGGGGATGGCATGGCGTCGGCAGCAGGGTTGGGGCCTGTGGCTGAGCAAGGTCGGCTTCTCCCCTGGGTCCCCTGAGCCTGTCACGGCCCCTCTGTGGCCTCGGGCTCCCCATGTGCACATGGAGGGTTGCCGTCAGCCTGGCGGGCGGGCCTCCCAGGTGAGCAGGGTCCAGGGAGCACAAGAAGCGCTTCAGCTTTGTGCACCCCCCTGGTCATGTGAGGGGAGCCGTGCTGATAGCCGGGTGACAGTGAGTGCTCAGGGCACCCTGGGAGGCAGAGGGACCTCCCCTGACCCTCTCAGGGCGGTGGCCATGGCCCAAGGACACGCATGAGTATGAGTGTGTGCTGGAGCTGGGGTCCCTCTGGGCTGAGAGCCTGCTGGAGGTGGGGACAGCGTAGGTGCCAGGAGGCTCGGGCAAGGCATCCGTCCACCACGGTCTGGCTGTGGGAGGCACGTGGGAGGGGAGCAGGAGCACCTGAGTGTCCTGGGCCTTGCAGGAGGCGAGGGCCATGGTGAAGGAACAGATGTGCGACCTCAGCGCATGCCAGTGTACGAAGCAGGTGAGAGTGGCGTGGCGCGGGTCACGGGCAGTGGGGGCGACCGTGTACCTGCTCCTGGTGCCACCAGCCCTGCGTTGCCGGCACTGGGGGGACCAGGAGGAGGGCGAGAGCAGCTGGGTACAGGGAGAAGTTGGAGGACAGCTGCAGGGCCCACAGGTCCTGGGAATGGCCAAAAGCCAGCCCTGGGAGGGACCAGGAGGGGAGAGCTGGGCGAAGGGAGGGGGGGAGGCCGCACAGGGTGGTCCAAGGGAGCTGGGGGCTGCGGGTGTGGGGTTCAGGGGAGGCTCTGTGGGTGCCCCTAAGGCAGGCGGGGACTCATCACCTCCCCACCCCGGTGGCACAGGGCATGGTCCCGTTCCTTGGACTGATCCTGCGTGATGCCTTAGAGAAACAACAGGAACATCATGTGGATGTGAGTGACCCAGCAGGGCTCAGGGGGGCAGGATGGTGAGCTTTAGGGAGGGGAGATCCCCCAGTGAGCCTGGACCTCTCAGCACCGGGCCACCCCCATTCCTGAGAGTCTCCCCTCCACCCCAGGGCCTGGGCTTCTTGGAGAGGACTGCCAGAAGGACCCACCTAAGCCCCGGTCCTGGCCCCAGGGCTGGTGGGGCTGAGGGCTCCAGGGGGCAGCATCGGGGCAGGACTGGTCTCTCCCTCAGGCCTTGCGCATGCACGGGGAGGGATGCTGCTCCTTCAGGGCAGGAAGCACATGGGGGGCTGGCAGTGCCTTCCCGCCTGAGGCCTCAGCTCCCCGGTGCAGTCCCGGCTTCTCGGTAGCCCCGAGCCTGGGCCAGGTCCGGGTGCTATTTCTGGGCAAGCCTTCACCTTGGAGGACCCTGGAGGTCCTCCACTTTGAGAAAGGCTGGGGACGTTCCGGCCTCATTTTGGGCTCAGGGGACTGACTGTTTCTGATGCACTTTGGTTGCCTTCCTGCCTTCCAGGGTGACGGGATGAGAGAGAGAGTGGTGAGTGCCCAGCCAGCAAAGGTGAGGGATAGAGTCTAGACCCCCTGGGCAGGACCCTGTCTGGGCCATCCCCTGCGTCAAACATGTCGCGACAGAGTTAAGACATGCGGAGCTGAGGACACTAAAGGCTTTGTCAGGTGGCGGTTGGGGGTGGCATCAAGGCCGCTTTCCTGGAGGAGCTGGAGACCCAACAGTGGGAACAGGCAGGGCTGGTTGGCATTGGAGGGAAGGTGGGTTCCTATGTGAGCAAAGATCTGGGACAAGCCCAGTGCCCCACTCCTCACCCCCCTTCTTGTCTGCATCCTGTCCTTCCTTGGCCCCAGGACTCTCACATCCTACATCAGATCATGCTACACAGGAGGGTGGCGACGCAGTATGACCTGGAGACTGATGAGCTCTTCGAGTCCTTTCTCCAGGCCGTGGAGCTCCTGGACGAGGAGCAGAGGTGAGGCCGGCCGGAGGCAGGCGTGGGCTGCAGCTGCCGGCAGGCTCTGGGAGAAGGGACCCTGACACGTGGCCCCAGGGGCTCACAGGTGTCCCTCTGTCCTGCAGCTACACCCTGTCCTGCCAGCTGGAGCCCCCAGTGTTGCAGTCCTTCAGGTCCCACGTTTAAACTTCCTGGCCAGGGCCAGGTGAGTTTCCGGGCTGGGGCGATCGCCAGGGGGTGGGCTGCTCCTCAGCCTCAGGGAAGCTTCGGGCCATGCTGGTTGTTGGGGCGTCCTAAAGACCGGTGGGGCTGGGGTCCCAGCTCCACTGCTGACCAGTCCTGTCAGACTGAAGGGTGTTTCCCCTCCACCTCTGGGACCCAGCCTCCTCCTCTGTGAGTAGATGATGCTCAGGAGCCTTCCTGTGACAGGGACCCCCCGGGTGCTCGTGATTGACAGGACCCTATGCACAGAGCCCGGAGCCCAGAGGGCAGTGGGGACGGGGTGGAAGCAGGATAATGGGGGGAACCCGGGATAACCTGCCTCTTCTGCTCACCCGCGGGGCCCTGTAGCTGCTGTCATCGGGCCCTCGGCCCTGCTGGTGTCCTGGCTGCATGTGGAGGAGAGCTTCTTCCCCTTCGGGCAGGCGGCACCTGGCTCCCCAGGGCCCCAGTCTGCCTGCTGCTCCTCCTCCTCCCGCTGCTCATCCCGAGCCTCTGCCGGGGCAGCTGCTCTGGCACCTCCTCCGTCGGCCGACTCGGGCAGCTCCCCAGGCTGCCGCTGCATCCTCAAGGACCCGTATGTAGCTGCGGCGCACCTGGCCACCTTCGTGCTGTGTCGTCCCCTCTGCTTGTGGCCCGTTGGACAGAGGCGAGCCGCCCCACCGTGTGGAGGATGTTCCCCTTCGTGCAGGTGGCCTCCCGCCGTGACACCAACTCCTGCCTGGGCGCCGTCAGCCACTGAGTCGTAGCCACAAGGTTCCAGGAATAGGTGGGCGCTGTCCTCACCAGGCCCGGCCTTTCCCGGGATGGACATAGACACGGCGCAGTGCTGCGAGGGACCACAGCCTCCTGGTGCCCAGCGGAGGCATCGGAGGGTGCAGGGGTGGCCGTCTGTTGCACGGTCCTGGGGCTTGCTTACAGGGGAGCCGCCTGTACAACTTCCTACCCTCATCCCTGAGAATTAGCCTCCGCAGGCGCAGTGTGCTCTGGGTGTTGTGTCTGAGGTTTATGGTTCCTGGGGGTTGGGGTCATCCCTGTGCAGAATGTAATAAATGCTGAACGGATTGCCACCACACTGCTCTTTCTTCTCAAAGCTCTGCCCCTCCTGCGGACATCGTGTGCCCCAGCCCACCCCACCCCAGCCTCAAACTCTCTGATGCAGGGGACCCTGACCTAATCCCTGGCAACATTGCTTTCACTCTGTGTTTCTACCTTTTTTACTATTTTAGAAGCCTCATGTAAATGGAGTTATGCAATATTTGTCATTCTGATACTGGCTAATTTCAGTTAGCATGAAATGCCCTCAAAGCTCATCCACATTGTAGCATATGGCAGGATTGCCATATTTCTTGGAGGCTAAATGATATTCCACTGTATGTATATCCCAAGTTCCTTTATCAAAGTATATTTAGGTTGTGTCCATATCTTGGTTCTTATGAATAATGCAGCAATGAACATGGAATTCAGATGTCTTTTTGACAGGAAGTATGAGGTGTTATCTCATTCTGGGTTCTTCTGTGCCTTACTGAGCTGCATCTGATATGTAACATTGTGTGCATTTTAAAGTGCACAATGTGATGATTTGATACATGTTTGTTTATGTGTGAAATTTTGCCACAATAAGGTTAGTTAACATATCCTTCACCTCACATAATGACCATTTTCTTGTTACACTGAGAACACAAAATTTACTATCAAAGCTGCTTTCAAGTATACAATACAGTGTCATGAGCTATAGTCACCATGCTGTACATTAGGTCCACAGAAATTATTCCTCTTATAAATGGAAGCTTGTAACCTTTGATGAACATCTCACTTCCCCAGGCTCTGCCCCTGGCAACCAGCAGCCTACTCTCTTGAGTTGAGCTTTTTTTCGATGTTACATAAAAATGAGATCATACCCATTTGTGTTTCTCTGTCCAGCTGATTTCACTTAGCTTAATGCCCTGAAGGTTCATCCATGTTGTTGTAATTGGCAGGCTTTCCTTCTTTTTTATGGCTGAGTAGTATTCCATGGTATATGTTTACCGCATTTTCTTTATTCCTTTATCCATCAGCAAACACTTAAGTTTTTATGCCTTGGTATTTAGAAGATACTGCAATGACCATGGTGGTACATATACTTCTTCAAGATATTTATTTTGTTTCCTTCAGAAAACACCCGGAAGTGAGATTGCTGGATCACATGGTAGTTCTAGTTTTAATTTTTGAATGAACCCACCATTCTGTTTCTCACAGTGACTGTAGTAATTTACATTTCCATCAACAGTGCACAAGGGTTCCCTTTTCTGCACATCTTCACCAGCATTTGTCTCCTGAGTTTTTGATGATAGCCCTTCTCACAGGTGTGAGGTGATACCTCACGGTGGTGTTTATTTGTATTTCCCTGATGATTAGTGATGTATTAATTGTATTTTTATTTGCATTTTTGTGATGATTAGTGATGTGTTAATTGTATGATTGGGGGGTTTTGCTACTGAGTTGTATGAGTCCTTGTATATTTTATATTAAATACCTCTTATTTGTTACATAGTTTGCAAAGAAAGGCAGGACGCCCCAGTTGTCAACACAACGTGTCCAGGACATTTTTCAAGTCCCCTTTCTGCTGTGGGGTTCGCGCGGTGCCGGATGTCCGAACGCCGCGCCATACGCGCTGTGACCGCTCGAGGCCGAGAGAATTGCTCTAAGGGCATCGGGACGGGGTCGGGCGCTGCTCTCTCGCCCGCCGTCGGTTTGGATCCGTCCCGCTGGCGTTTGCGCCGGTTGTCGGGTGCCACCTGGCGGACACTTGTGTGTAATGTTTCTTCCGAGCTCAGCAGAGCTGTGGCGTCGGTGCCGGAGGCGGAGCTCCAGGAGGGGCGCAGCGACCGCAGGTGTCCCAGCCATGCCAGGGCTTCGCCTCATCCACCCACCGGAGACTGGACGTGCAAGTGCATGGCCCCGTCGTTGCACCCCCAGACCAGGATTGGGGGTATCCAGGTGGGTCCACCAGCACACGCAGGTGCCCCTGCACCCCCATGGCAGGACCGGCGTGCCAGTGTGTGCCAGTGAGATAGGAGGTACTGTGTAGCTGAGGGTGACAGAATGTGGTGCCCAGGAAAGGAAGTAGCAGGGAGCTGCGTTCAGGTCTGCGGCAGGAGGAGAGGCAGGTAGCCAGCTGGGGGAGCAGGGAAGGGGCAGGCAGCAAAAGCCCACCGCAGACGGGATTCTCAGGGGGGGCAGTCTCCCACCCAAGTCCTATTTAAACTTGACCCCATTTGAAGGCAGAGGAGACCTGGCACGTTCAAGTCGGTATGGCTGTTGTCTTTGGGGGCGTTGACCTGTGTCCTCCAGCCTGCTGCCAGCCTCCTTCCCACCACGACCTTGGCCCCGGTGCGGTGAATGCACTCACAGGGCTCCAGCCCAGCCCTGCTTCTGTCCTTCGTGCCACCCAGTCCCCCAACCCTGACAAGAGCCCTGGTGATGGGCGCCCCCAGGACTGTAGAAAAAAGAGAACTTTTCCTGTTGGAGAGGCCAGCTCCCCCCCTTGCAGGGGGCTCGCATTCAGGCTGGCCCAGGAGAAGGGAGCCCTGTGAACATCAGCCTTCAGGTGGGGTTGCTCCAGGACCTTGCAGCCACAGTCTCCTGGGCTACTTTATGCTCCCCTTGCTGCCCTGGCCCTAGAGGAGAACTCACCGACCCCTAGGGTGAGGGAGTGAGGGGCAGGAGGTCTTGTTTTCTTTCCACCTGGGCCCCTTGTTTCTTAAAAGCAATGGCTAAGAGCAGGTCCAAGGGACCCGAGGCCCTCTAGATCTTGTTTCCGCCTGACTAGAGTCCAGGGGGCATCTGTGTGATGGGACCCGAGTGCTAAGGGATTTTTGTCCCCTGGTTTACAAAGATCATAAAAGATCTTTGTAAAGATGTTAGTTGCCTAAAAGAATCAAGGTAGTGTTTTCACAAATCTGTGCTAGATGTAGTGCACACTCTAAAGACTGAATCTCAAAGGTGCTTCACAGAGTACTAGTTACCCAAATGAGGATAGTGTTCTGTAAAACTCTGTGTTCGTTTTCTGTTGCATTTTGTATACACTATAAAGACAAGTTTTATGATTTGTTTCTAGAAGTGATGGTTGAGCCTATGAACAGGCATAGTCATACTCCTGTGGAACACTATGTCCAAGACACTGTGCTACATACTATACACTATCTAGAGACACATCTATGACACATGTTTCTAGAGTTCTAATCACCTGAAAGAATGAGGCTAATGTTCTCTCAGTGAAAGACTGTGATCATATTATACTGTGCCCCACACTATTACCCTCTAAACATGCACGCAGGAGTTGTTTCCAAAGAGTGGATTGTGTGAAGGAGTCAGGATAGGTTTTCTCACTGAGAGGCTGTTCTCCACCGTGTTGCACTGCTGCACCTTGTATGCTCTGTAGAGACATGGGGTAAAAGACGTATCTAAAAGCTCTAGTTACCTGTGAATCAGAAAAGCATTAGCTCAGTGAAACACTGCTCACCTCTATGAGGTGCAAGTTAAGTAGTCTCTGAAGATGCATGTATAAAACGTTACCAAGTGCTGGCTGCAGCCTAAGTGTTATTTCAATAAGACGCTGTGTTCACCACACTATTGCATGTGGTGCACTCTAAGGAAATGTGTAAAATATTAAATTAAGAATACTAGTGTGAATGAATCAGTCCAGTGTAACTGTATGAAACAGTGGTTTCCCCCTCTGTGTGTCATGTTAGAACCTGAGCCTGAGACTGAATTCAATGGCTAACACCAACATGAACGGGAAAGCATGAACCTGGACAAAAACCAGCCCCAGCCCCATCCTGAATCCAGACCTTCCCCTGCCACACTTCCCCCAGACCATAACTCAAAATTTAACTTTCCTTTCACTCAACCCTGACCCTCACTCTACTTGACCCTAACCCTTAAAATTTGACCTTGATTTTAATCTTAATATTGTCCTTGACACAGCCTTGCCTGACTTTCACGTTGGTATTTACAGACCCCTATCCTGTTTCTATTATCTGATCTTTTCTGTCAATTATAACATTTGACCATGACCTTGACCTCATATAAATGTAAATAAACTCACAAACAACTAAATTGTCATTAGACAATGGTGATGGCTGCACACATCTATGAATATTAAAAGCCACTGAACTGTACACTAGAAAAGAATGAATTGTATAGTATATGAATTATATTTCAATAAAGCTGTCATTTCTTAAAAGTTGGGCTTTCTGGTTCCACATGCAAGAAGCTTGGAAGTCACCACTTGGTCTTAACAATAAATAAAAAGCTGAAGAGACTGAAATCAACAACTCTTCTTGGATCCACAGGGGGAATAAGGATGTGAGGCAATCCCCTGCCCTCAGGATTGGAAAGGCAGACAGGAGAATGCAGGGAGTTGTGGCTTACAAGAGCAGCACCTCAGAGCACCTCAGAGCAGAAATCTCCACACAAACTGGTGCTGGGATAGGAAAACAACTGTAATTGATGAATTTCTGGAGGCTCGGTGTGGACAAGTCTGATGGCTAAAAACTTCAGGGCAGACACAGTCATTGGGGGAACCCCACAAGCTTTTGAAATTTACTCCCAGGAGCTTGACCAGGTTCTCACAGTAAATACTGAGGAAATACCCTTGTGCATCTGGCAAGGAAAGGGGAAAAGGAATCACTTTTACAAATGCCAGAGCACTCTGCTCTTCATGTCTTTGATGGGCTTATTAGTGGACTGGACATGGGCTGAGGGAAGAATCTCTGACTTTCTATCAACCTTCAAAACTGAAAAGATAAAATATATAATGGGAATAGCAGAAGAAGAAGAAAGGAGCAGAAGAAATATTTCAAACAATAATGGTTACCATTTCCCCCAGTTAATGTCAGACACTCTGGTATGTGTTATTTCCAACATCACCAAGTATTACAGAATTCTGACACTATCTACCTGGTGATAGCTTTGGATCTCACAGGAGAAGGGTAACACTGCCCTTCCCCCAGCTTCAGGCACCAGTCATAGCTCCAGGTTGTCACCTATGCTTCTGGCCAACTGGCTGTAAATTGGAGGTTCCCAGGATTCAACTAATTTTCTAGAGCAGGTCAGAGAACTCACCTCTATGTGTT